TTAAAAAAATTTTTATTTTATGTGTATGTGTGTATTGCCTGCATGTGTGTAAGTGCACCCATGTCATACAATGCCTGCGGAGGTCAGAAGAGGGTGTCGGATCCCCTGGAACTGGAGTTACAGACAGTTGTTAGCTTCCATGTGAGTGCTGGGATTCGAACCCAGGTCTTCTGCAAGAACATTCAGTGTTCTTAACTGCTGAACCATCTCTCTAGCCCTCTATTCATATCTCTAGCCCATCTTTTTTTTTTAATTTTTAAAAATTTTTTATTTTTTGGTCTTTTTGAGACAGGATCTCCCTGTAGCCACAGCTGGCTTAGATTCACTATGGTGACCAGGCTGGTCTTGAACTCATAGAGATATGCCTGCCTCTGCTTCCCGAGTGCTGGGACTAAAAGGCATGTACCACCACACACAGCCTTTAGCCCATCTTTTAATTGGGTCATTTGTTTTCTCCCACTGTGGATTTTCTCTTCACTTTATTGTTTGTTTCTTTTGCTGTACAGAAGCTTTTTAGTTTAATGAGTTCCTACATGTTGATTGTTGACCTTAATTCCTGAGCAACTGATGTCTGATTTAGAAAGTCCTTTCCTACACCTATATCTTGTAGGTTACCTTCTTATAGATTACTGCCAATGTTTTCTTTTAAACAGTTTCAGATTTCAAATTGAGGTCTTTGATCCATTTGGAGTTGACTTTTGTGCAAGAGGAAAGATAAGGGTCTAGTTTCATTCATCAGGTGGAGATCCAGTTTTGCCAGCACCATTCATTGGAGATGCTGTCTTTCCTCCATTGTGTGTTCTTGGCACCTTTGTCAAATATCAGGTGACTGAAATTGTGTGTACTCATGTTTGGATCTTCAGTGATCTATGTGTCTATTTTTGTGCCAGTAACATGTTGTTTTTATGACTATAGCTCTGTAGTATACTTTGAGATCTGCCATAGTAACCCCCCCCCCAGCATTGCTCTTTATGCTCAGGGTTGTTTTGGCTTTCCAGGGTCTTTTGTGATTCCTTACAAATTTTTAAAAATTATTTATTTAATAACCACATACTTAGAAGAAGCATTTCATTACAACAGCATTGACA